TGCAGATATTATTATACTTTTGCCCATTAACACTTTAGTCTGCGTAGCATTAGAGCACAACGTTTAAAACTTTTTCTTTTAATAGTTTTTTTTTTTAAATAAGGTAACATTTACATACAATGAAATAAATCTTAAAAGTGTCTCATTCACTGGGTTTTGATGTATTTGTAACACATACACTCCTTGGCCTTCCTTTCATAACTAACATCCTAGGTGACTTTATGGGATGCTATTTTACTCCAGTTTAAATGTTTTGTGTTAACCATAATCTAGCTTCATTTATGGTAAAAGGGGATGATTGATTTACTTTTTTTCTGTCAGAAGTCTTTATCTCAAAGTGTGATCCTAAGACCACCGGCATCAGAATCATCAGGGGTACCTGTTAAAACAAGGTTTGTCTGCTCCACCCCATGCCCATTAAATGAGAATCTCGGGGTAAATTTTAGAAATTACATTTTACAAATCTTCCAAGTCATGCCTGTTTATACAGCCTATTCCATCTGAAGTTTTTCTGGGCAGGATAATCTCTCCTGTACCTGATGCTTCATAACTTTCAGCTTTTATGCTAAGTTGACACAAAGCTGTATGTTCTCATATAGCCCATCTCCATGGCTTTTTGTTTGGACAAGATGGGGCCTTTACTTTCACAGTAGATTGTCACTTGTGTCGCATAAATCTAAAGCTTTTGGAATTCCTTTCAGTCTACAGTAGATGCAGTCTACAGGGGCTTTGTTTTTGAATTAATATTATTATATAGTATAGTTGAAACTGTTCAGAGGAGTTGACTGAGAAATTGCATAGCTTTTTGCTTTGCCAGATTTATGAAGCCACAACACATCCCTTTCCTAATTTTCAGTCAGCAGAAAGCTAAATATACAATCTAATCCTCAGACTAGTTTGTAGAGATGCCTATGATGTAGAATTATGCCCTTAAGAATCCAGGACTTCTTAACTCAGCACTATTGGCATGTTGAGTTACATCGGTCTCTCCTGTGGGGGCCTACCCTGTGCAGAGATATTTAGCAGTATTTCTGTCTCGTACCCACTAGGTGGCTGTAGGGAACCCCCAGCACCTGTGGAGACAACCAAAATGCCTCCAAACTTGACTGAATGTCCCCTGGGGACAGAGTCACAGCCTTAAGAAATGGTTGCTCTATGGAGCTGCATGGAAGGGTGGTCTGTGTTACTGAAGAACTTAACAACAATAACAAAAGTTGTTGATACTGTTACGTTTCAGTACTTTTTAAATACTTTCATGGGATTTCTCTAAAAATTGTTCTTTTTACAAGATAAAAGCTGTCATGGTTCTGTTTCTTCATTGGTTGCTAGGAAATTCAGCTCGGTTTGTACTAGTTAACAGTGACTTTACTAAACTTCTGAGATTTTCTTACTTAGCTCTTGTTCTTTTACCCTTGATGTTTTTTTCTAAATGTCTTATGAACCACTTAAAACTCTTGATGAAGGCAGGTGTAGATTTTAGGTAAGTAAAGAATCCTATTCACTTTAAATGGCATTTTAATAGGTAGTGGGTTAGTGAATTTACTGAAATACAGGGATTTTCTTCTTACAAATAAACCATTAGTAATACTTTCAAATGAGAGCTGTAAATGGTTTAGTTTGAGACTGAATGGTTAAGGAACAAGTAGTAAAATGTGAGCAATAGGTGATGACAGATGAACAAGAAAATGGGCTTGGAGTGGATATTATCTACAGTTTCGTAGTCATTCTTACTATAACACAGAGATAATAGATGAAAAGAAGAAACTTACTGTATTCTAGGATTTTATTATTATAGTGATAATGTTATGTAGGACTGTTTTTCTTGGAGATGAGATATTACATGGAGAAGTCTGATTTGACTTTGGAGAAGAGTTACACATAATGGCTAAGAGCATGGCTTTAGATTTCTCACCATTTCTTAGCCATACAACTTTAGGTAAGAGTCTTAATGCTTGTATGCCTTAAGTTTTCTTACTTGTAAAGTGAAGTTGACACCAATACTACCTGTTTCATTGGGTTTGAGGAGGATAAATAATAGACATAAAGCTCTTAACCTAATGCCTGGGCCATAATAAGTGCTCATTAACTGTTAGCTGTCATTTTTAATCTTTTAAAATTATTCATAGATTAATAATATGACTTTAGAGTTTTATTATTTTGCATCTCAACATATGATTAAAATATAGGACATTGTTTCTATAGAGTATTTGATAGTAGGATCTTGTATATATCATCCTTTATAGTAAGTACTTCTTAGTGTCAGAAAGGTTTATGTGAAAGATAAAAAATAGCCTTTAAGCATATAGTAATGTGTGATGTCACACTTTGTAGAAAATGGTTATAATAGACTCATTTTGTAATCTTTATTCTGTAGCACAGATTTTTAGAACTTATTTTGGGGTAGCCTTTTGAGATTTAGCACTCTTACATCACTTAGTATGTCAATACACATTTATTTGCCAGTGTGACATATTTCATTATCATAAGAAAAATAATATGCTTCCTAAACAATCAGAATTAAGTCATAGTTTTTTAATAGATAAGGATTCAAGGAAAAAGATGAAAAGTGCCGTGGTCTAGCAGTGCTCTCCTGCTCTGTTTTCTGCAGTTTTAGGCTTGATCTTGAGTGATGTCATGGATCCTTAGAAGGAGAGAAGTGACAGAAAATAAGAGAAGGGTGATAATTGAGCTCTTTGGGATTGGAACTGCTGACAGTCCCAAAAGATAAAGCACAAGTGGCATGGTTTTTTCTATCTAGGGCTTAAACTAGAATTACTTTTCTCCTTTATAGCAAACCTTAGAACTTTGTTATTATTGTGTCTTTTTGGATTTTCCCCCAACTGTTATGGTTTTGCTTTCTTTCTCCTTTAATTTTGGTTCCACTGCATATTATATGCTTTAATTTTTTAGTGATCTTCTGTTAAAACAAGAGATCTTTAATCAATGTTGAAGAAGAAAGACAAGGCAAAACCTTCATTTACTGGAAATGAATTCTATAAATGGTCAATTATGCTGCCTATTCTATTATGAATGCTAGTGTTCAATATACAAAATGTTTTAATAATTGTACCCTTAATTAAATTAGTATTTTGAAACTTTTTCATTGCATAATTTGCTTCTGAACTACTAACTTTGCTATAGCTGGAATACAGGCAGTGAAGAATAGTGGAATAACTCTGCTTTGAAATCTAACTGGAGTTTTGCCTGATTCCCAGTTGATGTCTATTAGCTTATATAATCTTGATCTTTGGATTTCTTGGCTGAACACAGGAAAGTTAGGATCCTTACCTCCGGTAGTTGTTAGTGATTTACATGAAGTAAACATGAGAGCACTTCTGGTAGCAAGTGCATTCTGTGTCAGGTTCTCTTTTCCCCTCCCAGTCTCTACTGAGCTATCTTATCCCTATGATTGAGTTTACTTCCTTGTTGAAAACAAAGTCCCAGAGTAACCTTTGAAAGATGTATATTTATGACAAAATTAGAAGAAAAAAGAAATTTGAAAAGAAGTAGAATAGAAGAAGGCAAATAGGAGAAAAAAGAATTTTCGCTGTAATAGAGCACTTCTTTAGATAGCCAGTTCTTCATATTGGAAAAGAGTGAATTCTCTTTGCTCACATTGTTCCTGCTGTTGTTAGTCAGAAGTATATTTAAAGTGGTGGGTGTGTTGCGTTTTTAATTTTTTATGTAAATTGTGAGCTTTTGGCTCATCTGGACGATTTTGCCGTAATACTTTTCTAATTCTTCCCCCAAGTCAGTGAAGGCGGGGTGGGGCATGTAGCTATTTAAGCAGGAAATTAGGAGACAACTCATACATCCTTCTCAGGCAGTAATGGTTATAATGTTCAAATGATGAGCTCTACATACCTTAACTTAGCCCAGTGAACCTCTGAGGAGCTACCTACTTTGTTAGATGGCAACACGGAACTTCATGGCTGTTGTTGATTATATCATGTGATACATTTTTACTGTTGCCAGTGTGATGATACTGTAGCAGTGGTTGTTCTACTATCTGGATATTGCTCACTCAGGAAACTATGCAGTTCTGATTTCTAAGTCTATGGCTTATTGTAATTCTCTGCCTATGTGTTTTTTTGACTGTGTGTGTTAGAGGTTATTAAGTATTTATAGCCCTTTGATTTCAGGAAGACCGTTTTAGTTTGTAAATCTTAAAGTTGAAAAAACTTCCTGGTGTCTCAACTGGTAAAGAACCATTCTGCCAGTGCAGGAGATGAAAGAGATAGAGAGTTCGATCCCTGGGTCGGGTAGACCCCCTGGAGAAGGAAATGGCAACCCGCTCCAGTATTTTTGCCTGGAAAATCCCATGGACAGAGGAGCCTGGCAGACTGCAGTCCATGGGGGTCACGAAGAGTCAGACATGACTGAACACGCATATTCACAAAGTTGAAAAATAGAAGACCCTTAGGTTTTTGTTTTAAAATTGTGTATGAAATTCCACTGATATAAGTAGTACATTTATAAATGCATTTGTAGATTCCCTGTCTACTGTTACATAATGATTGGGCCTTGAAAAAGGAAAAAGACATACCCAGGAATTAGATTTCTTTCCCTCTGTTTAAATACTCATTTGCTGTGTGATTTTTGTGGGTTTTTTTGTTTTGAGATATTTTCTTATGTAGCATAAGATTCTGTCTTTTCTGGAAAGGTTGTCTGGATAAATATTACATAGTACATAATGAAAAATATATGCATTTAGCAAGTTCATATATTATAACCACTCTGTTTTGTAAGAAATTGCTACAACATTCCTCCAGTGGAATTCAAATCAGCTACCATGGATTGCTTGTTTTTCCTAGTTTGCAGATTATTTTAGGCACGTGAACTGTAGTTAAGAGATTTGTTTATATTACTTGAAGTCAGTTTATCTTCCAATAAATTACCTAGTTGAGGGATTATATGGCAATACAAGAAGTTTGTATTTCTCTTAAGATGTTGAAGTTATGTGCCAGCAATTATGAGTGTAATGTTTTGCCTGTTTTCAGGTCCAGTGATGCACCAGCAGCCTCCTTCTCAACAGTACAACATGCCCCAGGGAGGTGGGCAGCATTACCAAGGCCAGCAGCCACCAATGGGGATGATGAGTCAAGTTAACCAAGGCAATCATATGCTGGGTCAGAGGCAGATCCCCCCCTATAGACCACCTCAACAGGGTATGGCTCCACGGGGAGAAATTCTCACAGTGCTCGAGAGGCTTTCCATTTTAACGAAGTTTTCATATAGGCAAAGTTAGAGCCTTTTCTTTCTTGATTTTGAAAATCATATTTTATTATTTTTCTTAAAAGGTAATGGGTATAGTAGGCACAGAGGGTCACAAAAAGTGGATATGAACTCCCTGGTTTATGATTTTGTTTATTCATTTCTGGGAAAAGGTTATGTCATCAAATTATTACAAGCTCACTAACTTACAGCAGAAAACACCATTTTATTTTTGAGAAATTACTAAATGTATGATCAGAAACAAACCCTAATTTGTTTCAAACTGCACTAATATCAGGAAGTTAATTTTCTGCAGTTTGAATCTCTTTTTAGGAAGGTAGTGTTTGTGTTTTTTGAGTTGGTATTGTTTGACATTGCATGTATGGTCTTAACATTGATTTCTGTGAAGTGTGGTGTGTGTCGTTGCTGTGTGTTATGCATGTGTGTGTATAAGAAAAGTCAGAAGTGTCTGAGATGGTAGAGCGTGGGATGGGGAATCTGTGGCTGAGAAATAATCTGTCATAACATCAGATTGGACCGAACGCCTTTGATGACACAGAGAACAGACTGTTTACATCTTGACTGGTTGTGGGTTTTCAGGTCCACCGCAGCAGTACTCAGGCCAGGAAGACTACTACGGGGACCAGTACAGTCACGGTGGACAAGGCCCTCCAGAAGGCATGAGCCAGCAGTATTACCCTGACGGTAATCTCTCCCAGTGTTAACTGTCCCAGTTTCTACCCCTGCCCAGTGTTAATGTAGCCAGCTGTTCAAAGCATTGTGATGAGAATGAAGAAACTAACACTGTGTTTCTTCCAAATTTAGAAACACTTCAGTAATCTAAAGCATCAATCGTGGCATTAATTTATAATCTATTTTAAAGTATATTTTGCTTGGTTATTCCATATTCGTATCGTCAGGCAACATGTTCTATCATTGGAATCCTATCTTATGTAAAAGAAGATCCTTTTATATCTGTAATTGTTCATTTGAACCAAAGCAAGTGTTACTGATTTGCTTTTTTAAGAAACAGCTTTATTGAGGTAATTCATACATCATAAAGTTCAACTGTTGATTTACTTTTATTCATTGTATAAATACAAAGAGAATATAATTCTTGAATATTCTACCAAATTGTATCCTGTTAGTTAATATTACATACGTCTCAAAGAACTATGGTTTATATATGTTATCATTTGCATTTGAGAAAAACTTTGGAGGCTAAATTGTATCCATAATATAGCTATTTATATAGAGTTAATAGAATAGAAAGGCATTTGAAAATCAGATTTTAACTCTAGTTATTTAGTTTAATGGTAATTTTATTTTTTAACGAGAAGGTAGCTTGTGAAAAAATGGTCCTTAAAAGATGTACTGTGTTTAGTAGTAAGCCAAGCATACAAGTAGACTGTCATCATACAGTTCTTTGTTTTCTTGTATGCTTGAAAATTTTATGATACAATATTGAAGAAACAGTAATCCAGACATATAAAATTGATCAGATAGAGGTGGCTGTTCACATTACAAAATGATCTATCTTGTTTGGAAGGATTTGCCAAAATCTTCATTTATATTAAGCTCCCTTGATGTAATTAGGTAAAACTACTTAACAGAGAAACTTGGAGAAACTAAGAACTTGAAGCTGAAATGTTGAGACTATTTGACTAGAAGCTAATGTAAGCTAGCAGGAGGATATGACTTGGTGTATTTAAAAAAGCATTTTGTCTGCCATTTTCTGTCAGTGTATAAATCCTAAGTGGTATAAGGACATTGTTTTTTTCCTGCAGAGATTCTGCTTATATAGGCAGAACAAACACGCCTTATAGAATTTTGCACACAAAATATGTGTTTCTTAGTGGTAGTGATACATATGGATAATTTTGGTTAGAAAATAGTTTTTAAAAAATCTTTTACTTGCCCTCAGTTATTTAGAATGTTGCAGTTCTTTTGTTTTCCTTTCACATTGTAGACATTGTTTTAACTTTTTTTTCCTTGAAAAACTTTAAGTTACATTTATATACTATAGATATTTTAAAGAAATCTAGGTTGCTAAATACATTACGTATAGTCTGCTGAAGATAAGTGATAGTCTTGTTTAATTTTTAAAATACATATTTTAAGTAATTGAGGTGAATTTAACACCATTATTCTGTTACTGAGTATTTCATGAAACATGAAATTTATATTGTTATAAATATGAACTTTCTATTCAAAATAGTTACGTTGTTCTTATAAATAGCAGAACTTTAAGGTTGCTATAAATAATTCTTTTGTTGTACAATGGAATTTAAAAATTTAAGCTGTATATCATTTTTATGTAAATGGGTATTAATATATTTGTCTGATATTTACATAGAGTATTTCATTTATAGCAACATTCAATTTTCTTAAACAGCATTGGATGTTTTCTTACTATGTTTAGATACTTATGCCAGTAAATATGTAGATAAGGACCAGCAAACTTTTTTCTGTAAAGGGCAAGGGAGTAAATATTTTAGTCTTTGCAAGTCCTATGGTCTTGGTCTCAACTACTAAACTTTTGTGGTAGCATGAAAACAGCTATAGAAAATATGAATGGGTATGACTGTTCCAGTGAAACTTAATTTGCAAAAACAAGCCACTGGCTCTATTTAGACTGCAGGCCATAGGTTGCCAATCTATAATGTAGATACTTAGGAGGTGGTTTGGAAACACTGAAATGCTAGAGTTATGAGTATTATATTTGTTCATAACTATATTCCTCCTTCCTTAATTAGGTATTCTAAAATTTAGTTCAGATTTTAGCTAACGGAAAGGTTTTTTCCTGCAATTTCTTTGAGCAACTAAGTTAAAAGGACTAAGCCTAGTCATCTTGCAGGTGTAACTTATTGTGCCTTAAAATTAAAAGTGTGCTCTGGCACTTAACACAGTATTAATTTTATGAAGGTGTATGTTTATGATACTCTAGAAATATTTTCTAAAGGCTCCTAGAATGTCAGCATTAAGCAATATATTTTTGCATCTGAAAATACTTTGAGATACAGATACTTCAAGGAAGTTAATACAGAATGTGAAATATTTAAGTTTCTTTTAGGGGGAAAAAAACTTATGAGCTCTTTTATATTTTGCATTGTTTTAGCATATGCTGAGGAATTGGCGACCAGCAGAACAGGTGTTTGACAAAATATGATAATTGCTTCCTTTGCTTATTCTAATTTAATTCAGGTTATTAACATGTGAAAGGCCTAAATGCTTTTCTTTCTTTTTTTTAAAAAAATGGAAGATAGAGTTTTTTTTCCCCTCCTTGATGAGGATTATCAGAGTTAAGACTAAATGTAATGTTTCTAAAACTGTTTTTTGCTTTAAAAAGAAAATTGCACGTTATCTCAATATGAAAGCAATCACATTTGGTAAATATTTGGATAATGCAATTGAAATTATTTTTTATGTATTTCCATTTCTTTTTCTTTTTTTTTTCAGTTTTATCTGAAAGTATAAATATATTTAGGGTTTTCACTCAGTGGCCATTAACGTTTCTTCCTGTCTCTTGTCGAATTGATGTAGGTCATAATGATTACGGTTATCAGCAACCGTCGTATCCTGAACAAGGCTACGATAGGCCTTATGAGGATTCCTCACAACATTACTACGAAGGAGGTATCTATATACCTTCACACACATACACATATATATCCCCTTCTACAGGAACAAAAATTCTTGCATAAGACAACTTCTACCCATGCAAAGCTCTCGTAGAATACTAGTTGCTGGCTGTCTTGAAAGTTCCAGGGAGCCTAGAACAATCAGAATAATTTTCCTACAAATATTTAAAATGTATAACCATGACTTGCCATTTCTAACAACCATAAAAAGACTAAAACATTTTAAAATAATTTTTTTCCCCGATGGAAATTTTCTATTTGAACATAAATCCATCAATCCAATTTTTTTTTTCTTGTTGTGTGTTCACATATGTATAATTTTACATATAAGTTTAGTGCCTCTAGGAAACAGCTTGCTGATCTTGTGTAGCTAGTGTGTGCTCTTGTAGCTGTCTTTAATTTTTGTCTTTTTTATTTTATTTAGCATAGTCATGATCTTATGACTGTGATGTTCCAGTAAATGTAATGCTCGTATGGCAGAGACGCTGAAAATGCTGCAGTTCAACCTTGCAAAATTGGCTTTAACTGCAGTTTGTTTGGCCGAAATCCTTCTGTTTGGTTTGAGTTTTTTCTTTGTTTTGTTAACTTTAAAAAATCAATATAGCATTTCATTTTGTTCTTGTGTTGTTGGCTATGCATCTTAGAGGAAAAAAGTTAATTAAGCAAACTCCTCAGTATTTTCTTTTTGTCCTCTTCTCCAATTATCATGTAGGAAATACACAGTATGGCCAACAGCAAGATGCCTACCAAGGACCACCTCCCCAACAGGGCTACCCACCCCAGCAGCAGTACCCAGGGCAGCAAGGCTACCCAGGACAGCAGCAGGGCTATGGTAATTGCTTCTGGAAGTTTTAACTTTGTCCCTCCCCCCAAAATGTGGAAGTGGATATTTAATGTTCATTTGAAAATTCACAGCTTTAGCTCAGTTTGCTCATGGAGTGTTTCTTTAAAATGTTCTTAAAACTAGTAGTCTGTTTAAGAGAAAGCATAAACTGGAGATGGCTCATTGACCACAGGTAAGGTATAGAAAGTCATTTGAAATGAATTCATTAATTAATCAATTCCTAAACCTGTTTGGCATTCATGACCAGCCAGTAGCTTTGCATGTGCTTAGAAAACTGATGAGTTGGGTGATTACTAACAGTATCTACATAATCTGCTTGGCAAATTCGTTTCCAAAACTAATGACTGTTACCATGAAAAGTAACATTGATCCTTTAGTGTACAAATGAGGTCCATTTGGAATGTCTAGAGAAACTGTTTTTGTCATGCCCTTTTAAAATAGCAGTGTACACTTTCCATGGGGGTATGTTTATTGCAGGTATGTATCTTACAGAGTTTGGAGGAAGTATAGCCATTTTTTCTTATTATATTCTCACTGTAGTATTTACTAGTTGGCTATCTATTAGATAGGGAGTGGGGAATGATACAGACCTGATATATCAGTCTGAAATATCAGTCTTAATTATCTATGAGTATTGAGATACAGGAAAATATAGTTCCTATGATAGGAGATATAGCTGCTTAATTAGATATCATCTTTTGCTAACAGGGTCTCTCTTTTTTTTACATCAATATGTCTAAATGACTGTGGTTCAGATCATGAGCTAGCTCCCTATTGCAAAATTCAGGCTTAAGTTAAAGAAAGTAGGGAAAACCACCAGGCCATTCAGGTATGACCTCAATCAAATCCCTGATGATTATACAGGGGAGGTGACAAATAGGTTCAAGGGACTAGATCTGGTAGACAGAGTATCTGAAGAGCTATGGACAGAGGTTTGTAATGTACGAGAGGCAGCGACCAAAACCATCCTAAAGAAAAAGAAACACAAGAAGGCAGAGTAGTTGTCTGAAGGGGCTTTACAAAATAGCTGAGGAAGGAAGAGAAGTGAAAGGCAAGGCAGAAAGGGAAACATACTCAACTGAATGCCGAGTTCCAGAGAATAGCAAAGAGAGGTTAAAAGCCCTTCTTAAATGAACAATGCAGAGAAATAAAGGAAAAATAATTGACAGGGAAAGACTAGAGTTCTCTTCAAGAAAATTGGAGCTAACGGGGCATTTATGCAGAGATGTACACAATACAGGACCGAGGTGGTAAGGACCTAACAGAAGCAGAAGAGACTAAGAAGAGGTAGCAAGAATACACAGAAGAATTATACAAAAACGGTCTTAATTACCCAGATAACTACTATGGTGTGGTCACTCCCTTAGAGCCATCCTGGAATGTAAGTCAAGTGAGCCTTATAAAGCATTACAATGAATAAAGCTAGTGGAGGTGATGAAATTCCAGCTGAGCTATTTAAAATCTTAAAAGATGATGTTGTTAAAATGCTGCACTCAATATGTCAGCAACTTTGGAAAACTTAGCAGTAGCCACACGACTAGAAAAGGTCAATTTTCATTCCATTGAATGAAAGAAGAATGTCCAGACTATCATCTAATTGTGCTCATTTCACATTCTAGCAAGGATATGTGCAAAATCCTTCAAGCTAGGCTTCAGCAGTATGTGAACTGAGAACTTCTAGATGCACAAGATGGTTTTCAAAGAGGCAGAGGAACCAGAGATCAAATTGTCAACATTTGTTTGATCATGGAGAAAGCAAGAGAATTCCAGAAAATCATCTACTTCTGCTTTACTGACTATGCTGAAGCCTTTTGTGGATTGTAACAAACTGGAAAATTCTTAAAAGAGATGAGAATGCCAGATCCCCTTAGCTGTCTCCTGAGAAACCTGTATGTGGGTCAAGAAGCAACAGTTAGAACCGGACATAGAACGACCTGTTCAGAATTGGGAAAGGAGTACTTCAAGGCTGTATATTATCACTCTACTTATTTAACTTATATGCAAAATGTAGGACTAGATGAATCACAAGCTGGAATCAAGATTAACAGGAGAAATATCAACGACCCTCAGATACGCTGATGATACCACTCTAATGGCAAAAAGTGAAGAAGAACTAAAAAGCTTCTCGATGAGGGTGAAAGGGGAAAATGAAAAGTTGACTTGAAACTCAACGTTAAAAAAAAACTAAGATCATGGCATCTGGTCCCATCACTTCATGGCAAATAGAAGGGGAAAAGTAGAAGCAGTGACAAATTTTATTTTCCTGGGCTCCAAAATCTCTGTGAATGGTGACTGCAGCCGTGAAATTAAAATACACTTGCTCCTTAGAAGGAAAGCTATGACAAGCCCAGACTGTGTGTTAAAAAGCAGAGATACCACTTTGCCGATAAATGTACGTATAGTTGAAAATATCGTTTTTCCAGTAGTTGTGTACAGATGTGAGAGTTGGACCATGAAGAAGGCTGAGCACCAAAAAAATCAGTGCTTTCGAACTGTGGTGCTGGAGATGACTCTTGAGAGTCCCTTGGACTGCAAGATCAGACCAGTCAATCCTAAAAAATCAACCCTGAATATTCATTGGAAGGACTGATGCTGAAGCTCCAGTACTTTGGCCACCTGATACTAAGAGCTGACTCATTAGACAAGACTCTGATGCTGGGAAAGATTGAAGGCAAAAGGAGAAGGGGGTGACAGGAGATTAGATTGTTGGATACCATCACTGACTCAATGAATTTGAGCAAACTCTGGGAGATAGTAGGGGATGGAGGAACCTGGCAGGCTGCAGTCCATGGGGTCCTAAGGAGTCAGACCTAATTTAGTGACTGAAAACAACAATGTCATACTCTTTTTATTCATTGATTTAAACTCTGCTGTTATTATGGGCACTTCTTTCCACCTGTGATAGCAAATCTGAGAATCAGAATCAGGCTAAAATTCTCTTGTACCTTCGCAAATAAGCACTGAAATTTCAGTCAAGTATTGGAAGTTAGGTATTTTCCCCTCATTGATCAATTTTGGTTCCCTAATTCCAAATACGACTTTAGAAATATTCCATGTATTGTCTTTTTGAACGGATATTCTTACTACTCTCAAATGGCATTTCCATTTCATGACCATTGGACATTTTGTACATTGAATAAATAGAGTATTCTGGTTTTATTGTGTTTGTATGAAAACAAATGTTACGTGGATCAGTCAGGCAAGTTTATTGAGTTAAGAGAAATATTTTCAGTGGAAAGAGAGAGTAAAAGAAATTTACTGGGTTTAAGTGGTTAAATCTGGGTTTAAGTGGTTAAATGCTTTTCTGTCTGACATTGGGTACCCTCATGGAAATGTTCCCGCTTTGCTTATCTGTAGGTTTTAGTTGTCAAACTTCATTCTAATAGAAAATTTAGTTTTAATAATTGGGTACATAATAATTACATAGTCAAAAGAGTAGACTGATGGAATTTATTTCAGCTTGAAAATTTATTCTCTTTGACATTTCTCTATAATCAGTGTTTTCTATGATAGGTTTTGAATGGCTGTGATTGAAAACATTTAAGCACGAAAGCATTTCAGCTTATGCTTTATAAAGCATTCTTGACAATAGACAGTAGTAGAATTTACGAAATAAACATATTTGTTTGGCAAGCCAAATTAGTCCCTTGTCTCTCTGGACGTTGAAATCATTCACTTATGTGTGTTAAGTGTTAAAGGTGATGGGTACACAGAGTGTAACTTTTGAATCGTGCTTTTTCACTTGCGATCTGTGGCTCTTCAAGTCTTCTTTACTTTCTGTTTGTCAGTGTTTGTCAGTGTAGATAGAGCATAAAGCTTTCTTTTGGTGATTGTGAATTAAATCTGGAATTTACATGTAAAGTCATTCTTTGTGATTCTTCTAGTGATTGCAAGTGTAAATGTTGAGTTATACAGCTGCAACTATCACTGATTTCCAAACTTTAATTAGAAATTTCTTCAGTATTTTGAGTCTGCTTCTTGCTTTTTTCTTTTACCCCTTGCTCATACTGGTTAACTTTCTAATAGAAATACAGATGAGTTTCCTTAACATCATGGAGTTCATGTGCTTTACAACTTATAGTATTTTTTTATAATTTATTTTTCATTGAAGGATAATTGCTCTGTAATATTGTGTTGGTTTCTGCCAAATGTCAGCATGAATCAGCCATAAGTATTCCTATGTCCCCTCCTTCTTGAACCTAACAGTATTTTTACTTATAAATTTTTGAATTTATTTCAAAAAGCATTTGAGAAGAATCAAGGTAGCAAACTATTCTTTGGAGTTTAAAAATGAGAGCATAGTAACATCTAATTCTAAACCCTTTCTAGAATTCTAGGAACTTGCTGTATTTTCTTCTGGGGTTTTATTTGTGTTAATTATTTTGCAGGTCCTTCACAGGGCGGCCCAGGTCCTCAGTATCCTAACTACGCACAGGGACAAGGCCAGCAGTATGGGGCTTACCGGCCGGCGCAGCCTGGGCCCCCACAGCCACCGCAGCAGAGGCCTTATGGGTACGACCAGGTAAGTTACCTGGCCGGCTGTGTGGCTGCCCCATTGTTTGCTCACTCTTGATCAGCTTAAATATTTTTCAGTTGGCGACTCGTTTTTCCCTCCTTTTGTTTATAACACGAGTTAACTAAAAAAAAAAATATTTTCTCTTGAGTCTTTTTCATAGAATGCTAGCACAGTCAATGGCACCCCACTCCAATACTCTCGCCTGGAAACTCCCATGGACGGAGGAGCCTGGTGGGCTGCAGTCCGTGGGGTCGCTATGAGTCGGACACGACTGAGTGACTTCACTTTCACTTTGCACTTTCATGCACTGGAGAAGGAAATGACAACCTGCTCGAGTGTTCTTGCCTGGAGAATCCCAGGGACGGGGAGCCTGGTGGGCTGCCGTCTATGGGGTCGCACAGAGTCGGACACGACTGAAGCGACTTAGCAGCAGCAGCATGGTTACTTTCGCATATAAAACATGGCATTCTCCAGGCACCAGCGTTCATTCATGTTCATTCATTTATACCCTGCAGGCATGCTTCCCTTAGCCCTTCCAAACATTATTCTGTATTCTAAACCCCCTGGTTTCTCTTATTTCCCTTCTGCTTATTGTTCAAGACTCCTCGAGACCTGCCCTGTTGAAACGTGGAGTCCGTCTGAGTCAGTGCACTCACTGGCTCTCAGCTTCACGTCGGCACGCTCACTCCACATCCTCAGCAGCCACGGTGGCCTTTCTCTTTCCGCTCATGCTCACAGCGTCTCTGCTGCCTCTTGTACCCCTGTCCACTGTGTCAGATGTTAATACTCTTTCTTTCTCCCCTGTTACCCTTCCTTCTGCTTCCTTTAGATATGTATAAGTGCATCTCATCCTGTGATGTCTGTGTTCTCTTAAACCTTCTTTTCGTCAGTAAATTGCTCAGGCTTAATAATCTGCGCCACAGTCATTGTTTTATGAATCTTCTCATACATGCTCTAAATTATTAAGATGATTTATTATGTTGGCAGGTTTTTTTTTTTTTGATTGATTTTAGGTTTGTTTAATGATTTTACAGTGAGGAGAATCTGATCTGTTCACCATTTAAGCTGCCTAAAATACTTACTTTCTAATGTCAGGGTTACAGGACCAGTAGGAATGATCTAGTTTGAGGAACAAGTCATATACAATGCTGGTTAGATGCTGAGGCATGAGCAGCTCTTTCGTCAACGCTCTCTCAAGTCAACAACCCTCTTGTAAATGACACTTTCTAGTTAGGTGGGAAAAATAAAAGGATGTGGACAGATAAGTAATATTAAAAAGAATATGCTAAGATTAAGTCAAAGGATTAGGTAGAAGGTTTATTTAATCGTAAAATAAGTGTTGACTAGTGAGTATCTAAGGACAAGATCCCTGAGCAGATATAATTTAGGCTCATTCTAATCCACAGGATAGCTGTCGAAAAGTGGTCATTTACGCCGTAATTCAACAAATTTTTATTAATTTCCCGTGTGTGCTGGGCACTCTATTGTGTCCTAGATGAGTGAAACAGACCTGGTCCTTATGGCTCATGGAGAAACTCCCTCCATCTTCCTTAACCTCACTTTAGCATTTGACTCAGGTTCCTATTTTCATTCTTAAGTGGTGGTTTTTAGCTTCTGCGTGACTACTGTTTCGTTCCTCTTACATTTCCAGTGATTCCTTTTCTATATTTTACTTGTTTCTCATCTTTCTTTTACCCCATCAGTTTCTTTTATCAATCCTTGGCTTAGTGTTTTTCAGTCTGTATTCCTCCTGTCTTACATTTTCCGTATCCTTAATCCACCCTTCTCAACCCAGCTCCAGCTCCATTTTTTCAGCTGTGTACAGAACATCTCTCTGGGTGTCTTGCCATTTTCTTCAGCTTCATCATTTTCTTTCTGACTCATCATGTTTCTGAATCTCCTAAGCTTATATCATTCATTAAGCAAATGGTTCTTGAGCAACATTTATATGCCAAGATGGGAACTTGTTAGGAAAATTAGATCGATATGGACTCTGTGTTTGTGAACTTAAGTCTAGGTGGGGTACAGACAAGTAAGTAGATGATATGATGTAGTGTGAGAAGGTACTTGTATGAGGGAAGGCAAGATTTTTGTGAAAGGGAGCGCTTAACTCAGATATATGTTACTTGGGAAGTATAAGTGCAGGAGCCAGCTTGTTGTAGAGAACAGAATGGTATTCTTGTCAGAAAGAAGTGCACTCATGAAGGACTAGTGTTTAGATATGTGGCTCAGTAAAGCAGAAGTGTGGGGAGGAAGAGGCAAGAGTGGAGAGATAAATTAGGGCCAGGTTCGGAGGACTCTTGTAAGCCATAGAGGGGAGCTTGTCCTTTATCTTGATAATGGTGTGGCTCAACCATATTGCATTCTCACCAGCAGTGAATGCGAATTCCTGTCACTCTGCACCCTCATCAGCATTTGATGTTATCAGTGTTCAGAGTTTTGGCCATTCTAATAGGTGTGTGGCGTATCTCGTTTTATTTTGCATTTCTCCAATGACATATTATATAGACATCCTTTCTTTTTTTTTTTTTTTTAATTTTTATTTATTTATTTATTTATTTTTTATCACAACCATAGTATAGACATCCTTTCATGTGCTCATTTGCCATCTTTATATCTTCTTTGGTGAGGTATCTTTTCAGGTCTTTGGCCCATTTTTTAATAGAGTTTATTATTGTTAAGTTGTAAGAGTTCTTTGTATAGGTTAGATAACAGTCCTTATCAGATGTGTCTTTTTCAAGTACTTCTTTGTTTTCTTGGCTTTTCTTATTTTTTGACATTGTCTTTCTCAGAGTAGAAAGTTTTAATTTTAATGAAGTCCAGTTTATCAGTTATTTCTTTCGTGGATCACACCTTTGATATTGTTCCTATAAAGTCACCACAGAACTCAAGGTCACCTATGTTTTCTCTTATGTTACCTTCTAGGAGCTTTATTAGTTTTGTATTTAACATTTAGGTCAAGTTCTTATTTAAGTTAATTTTCTGAATTGAGAAAACCTTAATTGTTAAGATTTGTATCTAGATTCACTTTTTTGTATGCGGATGTCCAGTTAACTAGCACCATTTGTTGAGTGAGACCACTCCTGCATTATTGTATTACCTTTTCTCCTTTGCCAGAGATCAGTTGACTGTATCTAAGTGGATCTATTTCTGGGCTCTCTATTCACTTCCATCGATATATTTTTCTATTCTTTTACCAATATCACATTGTCTTAATTGTTATAGCTTGATAGTAAGTCTTGAAGCTGAACATCATCAGTCATTGTTCATCTCCTCCAGTATTCCTTGGTTATTCTGGGTCTTCTGCCTTTCCATATAGATTTTACAATTATATTGTCAGTATCCAAAAATAACTTGAAGCTTTTGGTTGCAATTAAGTTGAGTAGTCTTTAGATCAAGTTGGGAGGAACTCATATATCTCAACAATATTGAGTTTCCTATCCATGAACATGGAGAATCTCTACATTTATTTAGTTATTACTACTTAAATTTTCCTTATACAGTTCTATTTATATTTTATTAGATTTATACCTAAGGATTTAACTTGTGGGGGAGAATTCTTATGTAGATGGTATTGTTTTTAATTTCAAACTCCACTTGTTCATTGTGATAACTTACCGTGAATGGTGTGAGATTCATGATTTCTGAAGAAGATTTAGCTTTAGGACCAGAGACCAGGTTTGATCATTTCAAGAGCGTTTGTGTAGCAGAGTTTTATTAAAGTAAGAAAAGGGACAGAGAAAGCTTCTGACACAGACATAGGAAGGGGGACAGAGAGTGGCCCCCTCGCTAGTGTTAGCAAGGGGGTTATATAGTTTTTAAATTAGTTATTACAATAAATCATAAGAATGTCTCAAGGTTGTAAAAATTTTACCAAACCCACTCCCACAGTTTACATTTTAAGATAATAGGATTAGAACTTAACAACAGAAGGATTTTACCAGACCCACTCCCATAATATACATCCTAAGATACCAGGATTAGTCAGAAGATTTTCAGGAAGGAGAAGCTGTCCTCAAGCAGGATACACTGTTACATAACCCTCAATACAGAGTTTAAGCTGAGTTGTTTGTTGTATAAGCATCACTTCCAGGCTTAAAGAAAAAAGTGTTTTATGACTCAGACTAAGGAACACAGAAAAAAAAAGACGTTTGTCCTTTCCTCCTCCTTGAGAATTCCAGACCCCTCTCTCCTCCTCGGTGACCCTGGACTTCTTATCAACCTGCCCAGGAATTGACTCTCTCAGTTGCTAGTATATAGGGGACTTTACTGTGTTAACCTTGTATCCTTTAACCTTGCTTATTATTAGTTTCAGGAGGTTTTTTTATTGTTGATTCTGTGGGATTTTCTCCCAAGTCAGTCATGTCATCAGCAAACAAAGACAGTTTTATTTCTCCTTTTCCAATTTGTTTATCTTTATTTCTTTTTCTAATTGCATAAGCTAGGAATTTTAGTACAGTGTTGAGAAAGAGTGGTGTGAGGGGACATCTCTGCTTTGTTCCTGATCTTAGCACAAAAGTTTCATTAGATCTTAGCAGGAAAATTTCATTAAATATGATGTTGAATGCTTTTATTTTCTAGCATAGCATTTATTTCCATGTGACACATTATGTAGTTATTGTTTATTATCATACTCTCTTCCGCTAGACTGTCAGTTCTTTAAAGACAGCACCATGTCTGTTTTTATCACTGTTGAGTCTCCACCACCCAGTGGAACACATTGCTGTTATTGTTGTTCAGTTGCTCAGGTGTGTCCAACTCTTTGTGACCCCATGGACTGCAGCACGCCAGGCTTCCCTGTCCTTCACTGTCTCCCAGAGCTTGCTCAAACTCATGTCCATTGAGTTTTTGATGCCATCCAACCATCTTGTCCTCTCGTCAGCTCCTTCTCCTCCTGCCTTCAATCCCTCTCAGCACTGGAGTCTTTTCCAGTGAGTCAGCTCTTCGCATCAGGTGGCCAGAGTATTAGAGCTTCAGCATCAGTCCCTCCAATGAATATTCAGGACTGATCTCCTTTAGGATTGACTGGTTTGATCTCTTTGCAGTCCAAGGGACTCTCAAGAGTCTTCTCCAGTACCAGAATTCAGACGCATCAGTTCGTTGGCGCTCAGCTTTCTTCATGGTCCAACTCTCACATCCATACATGACTACTGGAAAAGCCATAGTTTTGACTGTATGGACCTTTGTTGACAAAGTAGTATCTCTGCTTTTTAATATGCTGTCTAGGTTTGTCATATCTTTTCTTCCAGGGAACACACTGAGTAGTCAATAAATATGGTGAGTGAACATATAACGCCTTTACTTCCCAAATCTGAATGGTGATCATAAGAATCATAAGAAACCCCTAAAAAGTATTCTGACAGTAATTTTAAGACCTTTATATGATTAGGTGAATGAAAAAAATTTAAAGATGGTTGATATTACTCAGTTATTGTTCAGTCTAGGGACTCTTCACACCATACACTCTCTAGAAAATCTCATTTACTCACAGGGTTTCAATTTACCGTGCTGTTGACTGTTAAATCTTTATTTCTAGTCTGACTTTCTCTTCTGAACATCAGGCGCCTAGTAGTCATCTGCAATTAGAAGTAGCATATCAGTTTCATATAACCAAAACATTTATAGTCTCTGCCACACATTCCTCCTTTCTGTGTTGTCTATCAGAGAGAGGTACTATTGCCAAGTTAGAATGCCATGTGCCATATTTGGTGCTTAAGTCTTTCTCCATCTCCCTCTCTCCATCTGGTAAATGACAAAATCTTGTTAGCCTGGTCTCCTTCAACATTCTTGTATCCGTCCACTTCTAAAAGTGCCTTGTCTTTGTTTAGACCATTAATATGTCCTAACTTCATCACAGGATGAAGGATTCTCCCATGCTATCTTCTTGCATCCTTTCCCATTCATTCTTTACTCAGAGGAATTTTGTAATTTAAAAAAGGAAAAGAAAAATTGAAGAAGCAGAGAGAGATGCTATGCCGAGGCCTAGAGAGTAGACGTGGTTGACCCGAGATGACTGAGGTGAGAAGTGGTCGAGCTGGGTGGTAAGTCCTGAGTGACTAGAGACCCAGTGACTGGACCCTTCCTGGGGGTCCAGTACACTCCAGTACACTGGAGGCAGTGTCCCAGGCTGCCTCCAGCCACACCAGCTGTGTGCAGAGCATCTTCATGCTCTTCTTGAATAACTGTCTGAAGCAGGAATTACAATTATCCTCACTTGTCAGATGAGAAAATCAAGAAAGGGAAGGTAGGTAACTGGCCTCAAGGACAAGAAACTGTTAAGCAGGAGGATTAAAACTAGAAATAGATTTCCGGCTCCAAAACCCTTACTTTTAACCCTAGAATTTGCTAATGGTTACACATATACAGTATTTGGGGGGGCTTGCTTGTGATTTGATTTTATCCTAGCGAAGTGATTAAGTGTAGATTAAGTTACTTAAATTTTCAGGGCTTCAGTTTCTTCATCTTTAAAATGGAGATAATGTTACTACATAAGTAACAGATGAACACGAAGCACTTATTATGGTGTTTGACATCTGGTAATTAAGCTCTTATTGAGATATATTAACAGCTATTATTGATATTAGACTTACATCTATTACTTCAAGTTGTGTGTTACCAAATAATCAATAGCTTCTACTCCTTATTATTGTACATTCTTTTTTATTCTCCAGTTACCTAAGTGTTTTTTACCCATTTTTCCTCCATTTATTTTCCCTATTTTTCAGATTTATTACAGTGATGAACATATAATATTTACTCAGTAAATGTTTGTAATTGCTTGAATATCATATTTGGCTTACATTATTGAAGAAGTCTTGTGTGTCAGGCACTCATCAATACTTGGGGCCTAAGAATGGATAAGACCTAGTCCCTATCATTAATTCATACTATAGTAGATTATAGCTTCTGTTTATATAGCACATCAGTTTTTGCCTCTCTTCTGCATTCACATGATTCGTAATATGTGCCACTTGGCTTTCATCATTACTATCTCATTATACACATTCACTAGGAGAGTGTTTCCTTCCAGCATTGAGACTTGCTTATTTCTAATTTTTTTGTAATTTTTGAAAGCGCTTTCTCATGTCCTCTCTTATTTGAGTGTCCTAGCAACCAAATGAGGTAGAACTCGTAACCTTCAACAGAAAGTTGAGATCCAGAGATGAGCATGTTACAGTCCCCACCTCATCGGTGAAGCATCTGCGTCTCAAACAGTTAACAGGCGTTGGGACCTAAGCTCGGTACTTAGATACCTGTACAGCTGAATGCCAGGCCCCATATAGGAAGTGCGTCTTACTTCGCCCTTGGTGCTGTAGGAGTTTCTGCGCTTCCTTGGAGGCTCAGGCAGTAGACGCCACCTGCAGTGCGGAAGACCTGGGCTCCATCCCGGGGTCGGGAGGATCCCCTGGAGGAGGGCGCGGCAGCCCACTCCAGTGTTCTTGCCTGGAGAATCCCCATGGACACAAGGGGTTGCAAAGATTTGTACACAACTGAACGACTAAGCACAGCACATAGGAATTTTTAAACAAAGACAGCAGAGAAGAACCTCATGGATCCCTGGGTACTTTACAAACCAACTTCAACAAGTATCAACATTTTGCCAATGTTGTTTTATATACTTTCCACCCTATTTTATTATTTTAAAGCAAGTCCTACCTGTAGATGCTTCTGTTTGTAACTTTCTCTTTTTTAATGGCCTGTTTACTTTTTGACCGTGCTGTCTTCCTTGCTCTGCGGGGTTGTCTCTGGTTGGGGCAAGTAGGGCTGCCCTTTGTGGTGCGCGGGCTTCTCACTGCGGGGGCTTCTCTTGCTGCGGAGCGTGGGCTCAGTAGTTGTGGCCCATGGGCTTAGTAGCTCCCCGGCATGTGAGATCTTCCCAGAGCAGGGGTCAAACCCGTGTCGCCTGCATTGGCAGTTGAATTCTTAACCACTGGACCACCTGGGAAGCCCTACACATATTATAAGGTGAACTCTGACTTTAAATCTTTCTGAATATAATTATGTAAAATACATCAAAAATTTTCAAACCTTAATTCTATTTATAGTGCATTATCTGCTTAGATATAGTGGTATTCAGCAGATTTTCAAGTATAATTACTTCTATGGAAGTGTAAACTTTTAGGGTACTACTTCTTATGGTATAGGAGGAGTTCAACTCTAGAATACTTTCTTGATATAAAATAATTAATGTGACTTAGAAGGGGCTATTTAGCCAGAGTAAATAGCTGATTATGTGCTTCCAGTGAATACTGTTTTTGGAAAATAAGTGCTTTTATGAGCATCTTTTTAAAACATTTAAGATATTTTACTAAAGTATATTTTTTCTGGTCTGTCTTTTCTTCTACCTTTCTTCTCTTTTGGAGAAAAATATTTTCCTTCTCTTTTCTAAAAACTTGCTTTAACAGTTGTATACTGGACATTGTTTACCTCCCTTGTAGAATGTTGCTATTTCATTCATTACCTCTTTTATATCTATACTTTATTTTCTTTCCTTTGCTGTCAGCCTGCAGGCCCTTCAAACCTACCTTATTAAAAGCAACAAAAGCAAAAATAAAAATAAAATAAAAGCAACAAAAGCACAACAGTCTTTCTTTGATTTTATGTACCAGCTGCCTATCTGAATATGTCTGCTGATACCTCACTGGCCTCAGGGAGAGGCCCAAATTCTGTAGACAGGCTATAGGTTCTTTTCCTCTTATCTCCCAGATATCTCTTCATCTTTGCTACTTGTTCTAACTTGGTGTTAATACATAAGTAGTTATAATAATCTAAACAGTTACAAACTTTGTATACTAGCACATAATTTATACACTGATACACACCATGCCAGAGTTTAGAGCCAGAACTTCTCGCTCATTCCTGATCTCATTATGTGTTGTTCTAGGCTCAAAGATTTTGAAATCCATTTGCAGTTGACTGTGATATCAGAAAAAAATTACAGAGATATTATATATATCTAGAACGATATCTGTATGCTGTGAAAGTAGCTGCTTTTGCCATATGACAGTGTAAAGACTTGTGATTTTCTGTGCAAACTATTATGGTCAAATGATCATCTAATTATGTTTTAAAATTTATCTTTTAGGGGCAGTATGGAAACTACCAGCAGTGAAAAGTACTTCCATTCCAGTAGCCAGGATCTACTAGCAGCCATATTGTCGCCTCAGCACTGTGGACACCTTCCTGTGAAGAGACCCTTCCATTCCATCTAGTTTTTGGAAAAACCTTGTGGATAAACGGCTGTTTCATCTGTAAGCAGCCTGTGTGGCTTAGTTATAAAAAGGCTTTAGTAGCTCAAAAATACTCTTGATTTCACATGTCTACTCTAGATGGCAACATTGGACAGAAAATACAATGACATACCCAATTTGCAATGATTTCGGAACTGCGTTTCAAACGGACTGTTACAGACTGAAAGGTGTGAACAGCGTTGTATGTTTATGAAGGTTAAGGGAATTTAATACTTTTCCATAGATTCTTTTGTAAGGGGAAGAGGGAAATGTACACTTTTTACAGCAGCAATATTTTGTATATTATGTTTATTTCATGTGGTGAATCTGCAAGGCGGTACACTACACGCTGGACAGGATCAGAAATCCTCTGTTATGGGGACGGGAGCATGTTGGATGCTTGATTGTGCTAGTCTGAAAATGGTGTTCTGTGAAGCTAAAGGTGAGGGGGATGACAAAGCTCCCATACGTCCACTACTAGGTTCTCCAGGGGACATTCAGACCCCTTTTCTCTCAGCTAATTAGGGGCTCTGTGGTACAGTTTTGAGTAAAAAGACATTTTTTTAAAAAAGCTTTCCAGTTTTGTGGACAAAAACCTTTTTTATAAAAGATCATTTATAATTCTGTTTTAAAATGTGAGGCAATAAGAATTACTGCGCATGGGACCTGAAGAATCTTGGTTAACAGTTTGCATGTAAGTCCTCTCCTAAAACAGCAATAACTGAACATGAAAGTTTTGATTTTACCTTGTTTGAGTTAATCACTAGTAAATAATATCAGAACATTTTATAAATGATATCAAAGAAGAGTCAACAATGATGTATTTTATTTTTTAACATGAGAAGGATAATTGGTTTCTATAATAAGAATAGTTCAGGAGACTTTATAAACCTTCCTTTCAACTTTTCTTGACTGGAAATAATGCCATTTATAAAGGAGTACTTTTACGTTTCCCCCTTTTTTATGTTGGTTAATAGAACACAGAGATGTTTAGGAAAATGCTTGCTGATGAGGTTTATTCTGATCTATATTAAAAGCATAGAGGTTGCATTTCAGATCACTCTGTTTAGCATGGTCTATTTAATCATATTTGAGACTGTCCTGTGCCTGATTGTTTGAGCTGAGTTCAGGGATTTTGTAATTGGACAGGAAATCATGCATTGAGAAGTTTATAACCACAATTCTTTAAGCGTAATCTGAAAACATCTAGCCCAAAGGTAAGTTGCTATTTTCATCACAGTTGCCTGTGCCCAGGGAATAAGGTATATTCTTTATAATAGGATTGTTTTTTCCCACTTAGAACTGGAAACAAAACAGAAGGGGTGCCATAAATTTGAAAAAGCAAAATGTACTGTTCTCAACATACTGTAACCAAAAGGAGAAATTTTAATGTGTCTCTGTATGAAAGAGAGTGTGTGTGTGTTTTAAGGTCTGAATAAGGCTGTTTTCAACATGGTCAGTAGAAAATGGACATCAAGTTTGAACAGATAAAGCATGGACAGCCTTATTGTGACTGAAATGCTTTTAGGATCTGTGCCAATTTTCCACCACTGTGTACTTTGTTGCTATTTAAAACTGTATCAACTCTAACAGAAGAATAAATTATTTGTGATTTTAATTTTCTCATTTGTTTTTTTAAATTAGATCTCTTTGACTCTCTTGTTCTGTCTGGAGACTGTGCTGTGGGTTTTTTATATAAGTTAGTCTAGTATAAGCAGACTATATTTGTATTCTAGGACTTTATCAAAATTCTCTTGTCATGCCCAAGTTAATTAGAATTAACTGTTCAGTAATCAGAATGTTGTGTGGGCTGTTTGTTATGGAATTCTTTCTCTGAAAATGAAGTCCATGAGGCTATAATCAAGATGACTGAATTAGATAAATGAGTTGAGGAGACGAAATTGTGCTGAACCCAACCTGGTGTAGATATGTTATCTCATTTGAAATAAGCTCAACTGACATTAAGAAATAATTTGTCTTGCCAACCCATCTTCTGTTGTCTTATTCTCCTTTTAATGGAAACTAAAATTGCAATTTTAATAAGCAGAATTTCCTCCAGGACTTTCTTCCTGGAGACTACCACATTTGCACGGTTTAATTGTTTTATAACAGTCCTGTTTCGTAGAAGTTTTTAATTGGTGGTGACAAAAATTACCTTACTCCTTTGACACCTAGTAAGCTGAATAACTTTACCAGTAGCTTTCTACCAAGTTTGACATCACCATACAGACCATATATTGTAAAACTGGAAATTTCGTTTTAGCAAAATTTATTATTATGAAGAAATATCATACCATTCCATGAAATTCCAGAAGCAAAACATTACTAAGAAGAGCAGGGCAGTTATTGATCAACATTTAAAAATATTTAACTGTGCTAATTTCGGCATTTGAGAGTATGTTAGTAGTCTGTGCAGCTTTGATGGCAAGTTGGTTTTGGTTTTGGTTTTAATTTTTTAATGGCATTTTTTGTGTGTGTGGAGAATGGTATGAGGATCTTCGTGTACCAGAAATCTGACTGAGGCACTTAGCAATTTGTGGCCAGTCTTGTGTTGTCTTTACACCCACCCACAAATTGAAGCAAACACTATATCCTTTCATCTTTTCAATAAGTATCTCTAAAAGATAAATACTTTTTAAAGTAACACCTTGGTACCAGGATTCTTCCTGCTTTGGAAATTTGTATTTTAATTGTTAACAATAAATGAAAAATCATCTCAGAATATGTATGGCCAAATTGCTGCCTTTTCTTTCATTTTAAAAAGTGATTTATATTAAATCATTAAGGTATTAGCAAAAGTATACTAAGTGTACAGTCTTCCTAATTTCATCTCTCAAATGTAACACTTGTTATGAAGGTTTGATACATTTCTTCCAGCTTGATTTTATACATGTAAGCTGAGATGATATTTTCTCTTTTTAAACAAAATTGGAATTTAACTAACCACACTGTTTTGCAGCTTTTTTTTTTAATTTAGGTAAAAAATATCTTGAATTTTTTGTTTGTTTTTTACAATTGCAAAAGCAAAGCTTTCATAAACTATCTGGCAAGGTTTTTTTGGTTTTGTTTTTATATGATTGTTGGAATATTTCTAAACTATAAATTTTAGTATGTTAGGTTTAAGGCCATGTACACTATTATCTTCCTAAAGGATATATCCTTGCTAACACGAGATTACTAGCCTTGTTAATTTTTGCAGTTCTAATAGGCTTTTAAAAAATGCTATCTCAGAATTTAATTTGAATTACATTTGATTTATTTGTAAGTTTGAGCATCCAAAATACTTATAGGGAGTTTATTATTTTTTGCTGTGAAATGGCTTTTAATATTCTTTGTACATTTTTTGGGGGGCATATGAGAGACACAGGAAATCGTACAAATACATATACACAAATTACAAAATTATATGTGGTTCTCTAAATGTAAATGTTAATTCTCTTTCTATATTCTCCATCTCTTTAGTCTCTATTATTTAACTGTAGATATACTATTGATATCTTTCACTGTATTAAAGTTTTAAGACTTCACATATTCAATTTCATAACTTCTTAGAACCTCCCTAACTTCCAAATATATGAGAATATTCCCCATACTTATTTTAATTTTTCTAAAACTTACTGTACGTGATATGATTTAGAGCATTAGTTTTTATCCTATATGATAACCAGTTGTTTCAATATCATTTACTGAATAAACCAACTTATTTGAGAAGTCACCTTATTTTGTTTACCTATAAAATTATAGCTAAGACATGCTTGATTTATGCCATTTCAAAGACTAGTTAGATTTATTTAAATATAACTTCATTTAGTTGGCATAAAGTTATTAATTTTTCCCCCTCACAAGGGTTTTACTATTGAGTAAGAGTTAACTGCAATGGTATAAATAATGAGTGGCTTCTTGATAGTAAGAGAATTATTGAAATATACATTACACATACACATTCATATATATGTATGTATTATATATTTGTATACATGTGGATAAATGTATGTATATATTAAAAAATTTTTTTCCTGATAGAGATCTATATTTTAAGAACTTAGATGTGTGAGCAGTGCATTTATGTTTTGGCTATAATTTGTAACTGTGGTAATATTCTGAGAGGTTTTTTGTGAGAGGTACATTATAAATAATTATTTAATGTTAAAATAGGTGAGTGGAAAATCCTGAATATTATGAGGATTTTTTCCATCATTTTTGGTCTCTGTTAGGAAATACTGATGACAATCAGTAGTCTCCTCTCTTCTTTTAAAAATAATCCCCAAGTTCTGGGTGACACATGGCCACCTACGTAGTGACTACATTTTACAGCTTCCTGTGGAAGAGGGGCTGGAGTGATGTGTGTAACTTCTAGATAACATTTTAAAAAGTATGCTCCATTTTCTCTCTCCCATTTCCCAAGGGCTTGCTTATCACATATTAGTAGGGAGATCTGAACTTAACATATTAGAAAATTACTTAGAGGATGACAGTGCAACTAAATAAAATGAAAAGTCTCCTGAATGGCCTCATGGACCCCCCTACTGCCTATCTGCCCGGATGATGACATGAGAGAAGTACCACTTCTGTCTCATGAGGCTCTTTGTTATAGCAGCAAGCCCTATACTCTAATGTAGGGTCACATAGGGGAGGGCCAGTTCATACTACCCTGTGACATATTCTGCGTGGAGTCATAGTTTTTAGAAGTGACAAGTTTTTATTGTGTGTGTAGTGTACTTTGTATTTAGTTCATATTCTTAACTAGTGAAACAGGATAAAACCCATTATATTTCGTTTAAGATCATATTCAGCTTTCCACCACTTGAATTAGCTGAATGCTGTATTTAGTAACAATAGATTTAGTTAAAGTACTGGTAAAAATATACTTACTATTTATTAT